TAAATATCAATAATAAACCCATTACATGTTAATATAAATAACATTTTTTCTGAAAAAAATAGGTTTCAAATCCTCCTCTAAATTAGTGAGAAGAATTGCAGAATGGCATTGTTTTTACATTTTTGCAAATTTCTTAAATGTCTGGCTTAATAGAATATTAATTAATAAGATTAATTAATAGAAGGTTAATTATTAATAGATTCATTTGCTTCTGCATTCAGTCTGTTGTGATATGTTGTTTTGGTGAACGTATATGAAAAAAATCTGGCTTTATACATAACATATTTGGAAAAGGGAGTAGCATTTTAATATCCTTTTTAGATAATTACGGATAGCCTTCTTGGATACTGCACCCAAACTCAGCAAGTAGTAGTTTCTTAAAGACTGATTAGTTGCAATGTGGAATTTGAAATTATATCAATGGCCTTTTCACACCTTGTTACATTCAATTCACTGGTCTATTTTGCACTTTCAATGAATCTTTTACTCATGTATGATTTTATAATCACACAATAGTCATTTAAAAAATATTGGTTCCTGAGTTATGCAGATATTCCAAATGTTGATAAAGTCTTAAAGTATTAGGAATCTGTCAAGTTCAGAGTAGAAGATACAAATTTCCAAAAATCAAATTTTTCTTTGAAGACTCAAATTTTATGATTAGCAACCAACACTGTCAGTTATTTTCCTTGAACAACAAGTTCATCTCATTCATTTGAGATAATATATCTGCCATATACGCAAGTCTGAAAGCCATGGTTTGTTATCTAGTCATTTTTCAGTAAAAGTGGTGTTCCATGAAAAACGAACTCAATGCTCAACTCATCTACACAAGTGCTTTTCTCTATGGCAATCATCATATTTTGTTAATAATTCGTAATGCAGCAGAAGTGCTTTATGTGTATTTCATATGTCATCAGATTAAATTATTAAAAAATCAATTTAATACAATTAATAATTTTTTTCTGCTTCATAAGCAAAAATTTAAGGGAAGAGTCTACCCTTGTTTTAAACTGGGAGTGTGTGGAGGTGAAGACCACAGTGACTACTAATGTAGTTTGGTGCCAGTGCTTTGATTTACACTGTGTCAGTAGTTTTACCTACCATTGCTTTTGTACTATCCGTATAGATGGCTACACAATGAAAAGGCAGATACTGTTTTAGTATTGTTGTGAAAATAGTTTATACCTGTGGACCCCACGAAAGAGTCTTACAGACCCCTCCAGGGTCCATGGACCACACTTAGAGAACCGCTGCTATGAATTCTATCCCACTCCAATCAATCTCATCCAACTTCAGATGACCGCCTCCCTGGTTAATTATTTGTTTTGTGAAGTATAATCATAACAGGGCTAATCATTTGCAATTATAGCACATGTAATTTGTGAATAATGGATTTAATAAGGTTATTAAGCCCATTAGTGTTTAGTACTTACATGTCTTTTTTTTTTTAAACATGAAATTAGGTTAGCATATCTTAGCTGCAAATCCCTACTCTCCAATTTTCTAGTTTAAATGCCCCAAGTGACTTGGTTCAGAGTTATACACTGCTTTTCAAAATTATTCTCTCGTATAATGTCTATTGGGTAGGAGAGAATAGATAACCTTTAACACAGATTCTAGGACACCTCTCATGAAAGGTGTTTAAGTGTCCTTGAAGAGCATTATTGTGCCACTTAAAAAAATGGCTATGACTAATTCTTTCCAAGCATTTGCTACATCTCTGGTCTGATATGTCAGATTTAAGCCAGAGGCAGAGGACGCAACATTTAATCTAGAAAATTCCATCTCATTTGCACTCATTTATGTTGACTATGGATCTCACTCATTTCTCCAGGTTGGTATATAATTTTGGTAACTACTTTTGGTTCATTTGGCTTTCATGGCTTTTTATGGATAAGTTCAGCTTCTTACTTATTTTTTCTCTTAGATCTCTGGTTGTTGCCCTGCTTTCATCTCTCTGTCATTTAGCCTTGACCTGCAGAACTCCACCGACTCCTGGCCCCAGCCTCAGAAGAAGGGGATTGGAATAGCCAAAAATGCTCAGTTTAGATTTGGCTGGGTTCAGGTGGCTAATTTTGTTAAGGATTTGAGGTCATCTGTTTAAGGATTTGAGGTCATCTGTTTTTCTCTTTGGGGTTTGCTGTGGAGCAAACAGTACATATAAAGGACAGCAATAGGGTACACTTTTACTTAACAGCTGGTCACACATCCAATGTCACACAATGCAGGGCTTACTGTTGCTAGAGCCCACGCTTTAGTGTATAGTAACCCTGCCCTGGCCAATCACGGTTCTGAGAACGGGTCAGGCACTGACCCACAAAATCATCCATGTCTTGTCTCAAGAGACTGGCTAGTTACAGGGTGGAGGAAGACACAGTTGGTGGGAAGAAGTGGGAGCATTTCTCCCCACCAACTTCCTCCTATGCTTCTAAACCAAGTAGCATCATAAAGTGGGATCTTGTGCCCTATAACTAAACTTGAACATCATAGAGGACTTCAGAGATCACCTGGTCCAACTCAACTTCAATATACACATGAGGGTGAGGAATGCTGAATGTTCCACCCAGGATCACACAGAAGCAGCACAACCTTGCAACTGTAAATACAGACTTCCTTTCATCCTACTACACCGGCTCTGAAATCTTAGATACTGCTTTCAAATGAGACGTCGTTTTTGTGGAAGTTTTGGTATTATTTCCCATTATTTCGTATGTTATTGGACCGTGGCTTCTTCAACTTTCGTAGGATTTTCCTGTTACATAAATTGCTTTTGAAAGTTATCTGATGTTTAATCTTTTTAAATACTTTTCTCTTCCCACTTGCAATTACAGTTCGGGAGAGGACAATTGCTTAACTATTGTCAAGCTCTCCAGTTCCACAGAGGGTTTTGTTTTCTGCTTTTAACCCACTCAATTCCTTCCTGAATCACATTGACAAAAAAATACCAACACATTGTTTTAAAGGATCACATTGAATTTTCTGAAGCCCGAGTAAAGAGAATAGATTTTGTTAACATTGACTCAACTAAAGTAACTAAAGATTTGTAAAACTAAGGGGTTATGTTTGCCTTTTTAATGCATGCACATAACATCATAAGATGAAGGAGATGTGAAATTTTGAGAGGGCAAAGAGTATAAAAGAACAAAAGTAAAGAAGCTATCTTCTCTCCCAAACTGCATCTTTGGGCTTTCACAAGGTGCATTTTCCAAAGAACATTGTTTATACCCACAGCATGAGGGTGATTGCAATATCATAATAAGAAGCATATTCTAGAGATACAGTTGAATGGATAACTCCATCAATTCTGTCCCATGTTGATAAGCATTTGGACTCAAGGGACATCTGCTAAAAATGCCCGTGCAAACTGCATACACCTTTCAGAAGTGCTGCTTCCGGGTCAATATTATTTTTGTTTTCCTGATTCCACAAGAAGAGAACTTCCATTTGATGCTAATCTTTGATATTTTTATATACTTCATAACTTTTTATTCTTTTAATAAAGATATTGGCCTAGTGTAGATTATCCGAGGGTATAATTTACATGATGGCATATGAGGTAGTTCAACTGGATATATTGAATGGTGATATTATACATGGAGTGTCATGCTGCCTGTGTTTCTGCTTAATGGGTAAGTCCATTGCAGCTCATATTCCAAACAGAGAATTTCCTTTTCTACCAAAGGGAGTTGGATATATTCTTCTCCAGCTGAGTAGCAGAGAACACAGGCACAGTACACAGAAACAACTGGCAAAAAGAGCATTCTGAGAGAGGCGACTAGATAGCTTAGGGCCCTACAAACACATAGAGAGAAAAATCGCTGCAGGGTAGGTGAACAACCAGCTACAGTGTGCACCTCATTAGAAATACAACAGATAAAGACAATACTTAAAGTCAACACTGAGCAAGTAGCATAAGGAGATTATTAGGTTTTTCCTTTTTGTAAAAAACAACATGGACCCTAGTACAAAAATGTGCCAAGTCAACACAGATTAGCTCAGAGTAGAGATGAGTTTCACATAAGCCACGATGAGATGGCCATTTAATTTGTGAGATGGTGTCAGAATTTCTTTGCATAACGCTTATAAGAGTTATAAACCATCTGTGTCTGAAGACTCTCAACTTGTCTTCTTCCTTTCACCTCACTGCCATACTTCAAAAGAAGGTCCTGTCTGCCTGTCTGGGTATGTCCCAGGGAACAAAGACAGCAGTACCTGCAGCAGAGGGAAGAGGGCACAGAGGCTTAGGGGGTTCCAGACAGCTGGGAGGATGAGGACCCTAGGAAGGCATCACAGGCACATGATGGACATCTGACACCAGGCATGCCTCATCTTCACACTGGGAACACTTCTTCAGTTCTCAGTCATTTCCCTGTCCCATAGCTATGCTCTCAAAGGGACAACAGGTAGAGCAAGCCATGTTCCCACACAAGAGCAAGCCATGTTCCCACCATGTTCCCACAGGTGCAGGTGCTGGGGGGCAGAGTGCAGGCCCTCAGGTGACACCCAGTCACACGTAGCGAATAGGGTTTGTGTGTCACTTAGAATCATCCTGCGTGGTCTCTAGCTACAAATCCAGCGCATTAAATCCTGGGTGACTCCAGGACCAGGACCTTGAGACTTGCCAATTAACATTAGCCATTACCTTTATAAATGTTAATTTCTGAGAGTAAATAATCAAGTAAACTTCATTGTCCCTTGAATCAGAAAAATTCAGTGATATGTTTGAGTATTTTCCATCAGTGGTAAACTGCAAGTTCCCTGGCACCCCCTGCGACCAACAGTAGAGATCTTCCTTTCTTGTATTTGTTAAAATGCAATTTGCATTGCATCCTACTGTGGGGCGGACTTGATGAAAGTGGTGGTTTTGTTAATGTCATTCATGTTCTAGAAGCAATTCCTAATAATTCTCATTTCAACACCTTGGGAGCAAGACCCATCTCTTGTTCTTTCCTTACACAGATACACTGAAATGTTTGAGGGTGTGCAGACACACAGACCTGCTAGTGGAGTCCAGAAACCCAGTGACACCGGAGAGTTGAGGCCAGTCGAGCTCATCGCTAAGAGCTGTTGGTAAGTCGGAGAAGGAGTTCTAGAGAAAAAAATTAATGTAGTAATTATCAAAATGGCCAACTGTTTTCCCCTACAGGTAATAAGAATATCCATTGCCTAAGCATTGTTCTCTGTCTGTCTGTTTCTTTTAATTTCTCTCTTTAAGGGCTTTTGGCATTTAAGGTAGATGCCTATTAACTTTAGCTTTCATTGGAGAATTCACATTGATCAGTGTTGCCCAGGAGCTGGCTTCCATTCAGCTCCCGTGAGACATGCCAAGCATACAGCACCCATACACTTGAGACAGTTGCTCCAGTATTCAGTAAACGTTGCATGCTTTTACATTTTCTGAGATTTTCTACATTTTCAGTTTAGATCATAAGAAAGTCAATTGCCTAAATAGTAATTAATCTGAAAAAATAATACCCAAGCTCCCAGCAAAAATGCCTTTCCTTGTGATATAGTTCCTTCCCCCACCCCCTTTTTTTGTGAGACAGAATCTCACTCTGTTGCTCGGGCTAGAGTGAGTGCAGTGGTGTCAGCCTATCTCACAGCAACCTCAAACTCCTGGGCTCAAGCAATCCTCCTGCCTCAGCCTCCCAGGTAGCTGGGACTACAGGCATGTGCCACCATGCCTGGCTATTTTTTTCTATATATTTTTAGCTGTCTGGCTAATTTTGTTTTCTATTTTTTAGTAGAGATGGGGTCTCGCTCTTGCTCAGGTTGGTCTCAAACTCCTGAGCTCAAACGATCCTGCTGCCTTGGCCTCCCAGAGTGCTGGAATTATAGACGTGAGCCACCACTCCCAGCCCCTTGTGATATAGTTTGGATATTTGGCCCCTTGAAATCTCATGTTGAAATCTGATCCCCAAGGTAGGAGGTGGGGCCTAGTGGGAGGTGTTTGGGTCATGGGGGAGGATCCCTCACCAATGGCTCCGTGCCCTCCCTGTGGTAATGAGCGAGTTCGCACTGGAGCTGGTTGTTAAAAAGAGCCTGGCACTGTCCCCCTCTTGCTTCCTCTCTCCTCATGTGATCTGTACACACTGGCTCCCCTTCACCTTCTGCCATCAGCGGAAGTTTCCAGAGGTCCTCACAGGAAGCAGATGCTGGTGCCATGCTCCTGTATAGCCTGCAGAGCCGTGAGCCAAATAAACTTCTTTTCTGTATAAATTACCCAGCCTCAGGCAATCTTTTATAGCAACACAAAGGGACTAAGACACCTGGGTTTAAAGTCATGCCCCTAGTCAATACACTGATGCTCCCTGACCTTCATGGTGGGCCTTAGACACTTTTGGGAATCTGACTACAGTTCCTTTTCCTGCAAAGATGCACTTGTACTAAATATGGCCTGTGATTTCAGGGGGCTCAGTTTGTTAAGAACTCCTGACATAAAGTGTTGAAAAAAATAGGATTCATTTAAACCACATTTCCATGGCTGGTATAAAATTCTAGAAGAAAGATGTGGTGAGCGACAGCATTTTATAAGTTCCCTTTATAAGTGGCCTCTGGGTCACAGCCCTCCTATGGTCTAATTTCTAGAAGAGCTTGTCTAAACTGGTGTGTATGGAACAGGGCTGCCAGAATTAGCCAATAAAAACAAACACAGGATTCCAAGTTATATTTGATTTTTAGGCAAAAAAGAAATAATTTTCAATATAAGTTGGTCCTATGCCAGGTTGAGACATGCTGAAAAAAAAATTGTTACTTATCTGAAATTCAAATTTAACTGGATGTCCCGTATTTTACCCAGGAATTCTACTTTAGCCAATATTCCCTTCTTGCCTTGGCTGATGGGAAACCTCAGTGAGTGGCTGCAAGAAGCCCCTGTATTTCTCAACATTGAAAATCCAGGCTTCCTTTGGATAAACATGAAAACCTTGAGTCACCCTTTAATGCTGTTTTAGAATTTAAAATTCATTAAAGATAATGTCTAAAGGCAAATCATATCAAAGCAATTGCAGTTTTGGATACAAATTTTAGAATGTCATGTGGTCCTGCCTCCTACCCTCCTCCTCCTGTGGTGATTCTTACCTGTCTTCTAAGGAATCTGGAATCTTCTAGGGATTCTTAAGGCTCCGAGAGGAAGGAAAGCCACACATCCCTCTCATCCACACCTTGAACATGGGTCTTTCCTGTTCCTTCTGACTACAGAGTAGTACATGTTTGCTATATAAACTCAAACAAGAGAGTAATTTACAATGGAAAAAGGAAAGCCTCCAAGATATAACTTTTGTGAGGTAACCACTGTTAACAGTTTGTGTCATTTATATATATAAATATCTATACGGTTATATATAAAATAAATATGAAAAATCTACCATAAGCCTTTACACTTGGAAAACCTCAAGTCATTGTCCTACTTTCAGAGAAATAGAAAATACGTACTCAAAATAAATAAAAACCAAATTTATATTTCTCAGTTGTGGACTGGAATGGATTGAATTATGCCCCTCAGAATGTGACTTTATTTGGAAATAGGGTCATTGCAGATACAGTCAGTTAAGATGAGGTCACACTGGAAATAGGATGGGCTCCTAATCCACATGACCGGTCCTTATAAGAAGAGAAGGAAGAGACACAGACACAAAGACTCGAGGGGAACACCATGTGGGGCGGAGGCAGAGATTCGAGTGATGCTTCCACATGCCAATGAAAGGCAGGGACTGCAGCCCTCATGGGAGGCTGGAAGAGCAGCATGGAATAGACTTTCACTGAGACCCCTCAGGGGGAATCAACCCTATGGACATCTTGATCTTGTACTTCTGGCCTTCAGAGCTCTGACACAAGCAATTTCTGTTGTTTTAAGCCACCCAGTTTGTGACACTTTGTTATAGCAGCCGGAGGGAACTAATACATGTCCTGAATCAGACAATTTGCTTGTAGCTTTTAGTATTCAAGGGGCTAAGATATGAACCCTTCTGCTATGTTGATTTACTTTCAAAATAAGTCATGTAATAAACAACTGTGTTTAAACACAGCAGTATCCCAGGGTACCTTGCAAAGTTTCCATGGTCTCTGAGCTTCCTCTGCTCCTCCTTCCTCAATTGTCTCATCCTTCCACATGCCAATCCTGAGATTTCCTGGTCTGAAAAGAATGCTCCCAACAGATCTTGGAAGACCATGCAGTTCCAGTGACCAGTACTTCATCTCCTCTTAGCATTAGGCACCCACCACTTTCTGCTCAAAATTCCAACATTACTGTGACTTAGTTAATATTCTCTGTTGTGGTTTCTATTTCTCCTGCCACTATAAAGCAAAATTTTCCTTTGCTGTTTATCTTATTTTCCCCCTACATCTTTCTGTTTGCAATGTGTATTTGCTGTAGAATTTGAGAATATTCAATTCTGCTAGAGAAGACAAGAAAACAAATAGAATGGATGAAACTCACAAGATGTGTTAAGCAGAGATAGTGAGTAAGCAAGTGACTTGTGAGATGTGGGCAGAATTTATGACCTGAAGTAAGTCAGCAACCTGTAAAGAATGTTAAAAGAATGATATGCTCCTTCCTTCCCTCGCCCCCTCACCATTTTCTCTGTCATCTGTGCAATAGCAACTCCAGACTTGGGAAAGTGGGTTTGGGTATCAATTCTGGCTGGGCCTAATCTCCTGTTCACAGGAAGGAGCTAGACAAGAACTCTGCTGGCATAGGGAAGCATGTCTGATACCCTCTGTAGCCTGGCAAACTAATGGAAGGGATGGGAATTCTAGAGTGTATCCAAAAAGTAGGAAAAGGGCTTTGCTCTAAAAATTAGGAGATCTGTCTTCCATGTCTGGCTCTTCAAATACTAAGGAGATACATAAATCAAGAAAATTCCATGATTCAGATATGACACCAATGGAAATAGGTTCCATTCTCCATGCTGCCCCCATTCTCATTCTAGAGTGGGTGATAAAGTTCTTGGCTTTGGTGGGAGAAAGGGGAATGTTGAGGGGAGGGGTAGGATAGGTAGGAAAATGGTAGGCAATTGTGTCTTGGGAAGTGGGGTCTCCCTGTTCCCAATGTTTTCTCAGTTCAGTCTCTCTGGATCAATCTGAAGAAATGGGACCCAGATACCTGGGAGATTCCTGGAATCCTTGTTGATATCCTGGACGCCCCAGTCAGCCCTGGAATCATTCCCACCGGGATTTAAGCTGGAGTGGACAGCGGCTGGTGCTGAATTGCATCTGGGGCTAGGCTGTGTTTGCATTCTCCAGCTAGAGCCCTGGCAGGCACAGGCAGACCAGCTGCCTAGGTTTATCCTGATCATTTGATTGACTCAAAATAATGCAAACCTGTGTTTTCGTGGTTGAATGTTTTAGACTTCACTTATGTTGTTATGGCAAAGTTTTATTGCTACTAGCTGTGCGAAATTGGGGAAGATATATCCCAGTTTTAGTATCTCCGATGGCTGTAGGAAAATTATCCAGTCTACTTCAACAGGACTGTGGGGAAGATCAAAAGATATAGTGAGAAGCATGTTGACAAGTTGAAATCCCCCTAGTATGTAAAGCATCATGTTTAGGATGGACCACCTAGTGGCCCTTTCCAAGTGGACTGTCCCAGGTTTAAGAGGAGTGAAGTTTAGTGCTAGATAGTAGAAAAGATTTGAACAGACCAACAGAATCCTCAACATATTTTGTCTTCCTTAGTAAATTTGGTAGATAAAAAGGAAAAGTAATGGCCATTGATAGCAAGTGTTTTATATATCCTAGCAAAAAGAGAATGTTTAAGTCCTAGCACATTAAACACTAAAGGCCTTCTTCATGCAACATTGCATCCAAGATATTTCAGGCATTTAAGGCAGAAAAATTCAAATTAAGATTTTCCTCACCAACTCCTGCTTATTCCATTTGAGCATTTATGTTCTCAGGAAACTCATCTTAAATGTACCTTAAATGTACATATGTGAAAAGACTTAATATTTACCAAGAAAAAATTTCCAAATTTAAGGAGCACAAGCAATTCAGTGAGTGTTAGATCAAATACTGAATTACTTCAAGTTTTCTTCTGATTCTTATCAATGACATAAATGGGTCTTTATGCCATATGTGGCACCTGTA